AAAAAAAAAAAAAAAAATTCAATAGTGAATCCCAAAATATAATGGTTAAAAATTTCAAAAAATTGCTTTCTTATATTGACTTCCGTGTTCACTGCTGCATTTTCATGAGCTGCCCCATCATACAAAGGCAAGGTCCGCACATGCGTTTGCTCACCGCCTGAGTGTGGTGAGAGTCGTGCCAGCTGCGTCCGTCAGCTCAGGCTCCTTTCTGTCCACCATGTCTGCTCTTCTGAGACAACAGGAGGTCTCCCATTCCCACACTTCTCTCTAATCAATTATGATAAAATCATCTCCATGTTGTCATTCGGCCTTCACATAGGAAAAGCACATGGTTTATTTGTAGGATCCGTCCACTCCTGTCATTTCCGGCTGTATTCCAAAGCATCAAGGACCCAATCTCATTTTTATGATGTGAGATCAAAGTTCCAATTTCTTAAATAGCTTAAGAAATTAAAGTCCTAGTCAATAAGACAGTTTTCCTATTGCATATCACTGGTGCAAAATAGAAGTTCCTGTTATCATAACTGGCAACAAGAATCCATCCCAATGTCTGTTTGGGACAAAAGTTGTTTTGATAGTAGGTTGGGCCAAGGACGTTCAGAGTTAAACATTAACTTCTTAGGTGATCTCTCAGTGCTGATGCAATAGCAACACAAATAAAGACTCTGAGGCTATAGGGCAGTCTTCAGGTGACCTGACATCAGAAACATGCACATTCTTTAATTCAGTAAAGTGAAAAAAAAAAAAAAAGTAAATAAGTTCTCAGGGAACTTGCAAACCCTGAAGAATACATCAGAATATTCCAATTTGAAAAACATTGTCATTTTAGATCTATAGTCTTATCCAATTTATCTCTTAGATAATAATTCTGAAATATGTTTGGACACTTCAATTATCAATGAAACACCCGACTAGATTGACTTTATTTTCTAAGATAGGGGAATGTTTTGGTTTATTTTTAAAAATTTTATAAAACAATTTTTGAATCAAAGGTGTTTCCCCCTTCCCCCCAAGAAAACACGATTTAATCTGCAATTTTATTTTATCCATGTGCTCTCCTCCCCAGGAATTATTGCCACTGGGGTTTAGTTGCCAAGACTTATAATTCAGCATCTGAGTAGCAAAATCATCCATCCAAGA